CAGTAATAGTAAATAGGCCAGATGTTTTGTGGGCGATTTCAAGCTCTCCCCAGTATACCCTGCGAGACAGGCAGTGAGCCCTGAACATATAACTAGGCCCAGCACCCTTACCAAGCCCCAGGTACCCATCCTGGCCGGTCCCCAGCAGAGGGTTCTGTATAAACACACAAAGGCCTTCTCTAGTCCCTGAGAGGTGGGCACTGTTTGCAGACTGCACAGCAAGTCACATTACACTGGACACACAGACAGGATGTGCGGCTCAGATGCCAGGGGCCCCGGTCTAAGCCACAGGGAACTTGTAGTCTCCTCCCATGTATGCACTATTCCAGCTTCTGGGTCCCCCAACAGCCCTCCCATGCAAGCCTCATATCCCTAAAGCCCAATGACTGTCTCTCAAAGGAGATAGAATTTCTAAATACACCCCATCCCCTTTGGGGTAAACGTGGGAAAAGTGAGTAAGCCAAAGACCGGGCTTCCTCACTGACTCCCCCCCCCCCCGCCAGTAAGGACAGCAGTAGCTAGAGATGGCATACACCCTCTGACCACATGCCTGTTACCATGGTCTATGTCCAGCCACTGTCACTGCAGCCCAGTCCCTCTCCAGCATCCAGCGCCAACTCCTGCGGGCCAAGGGCCCTCGTGGCCGGTCAGCACATTCATGTTGCCCGAGCCCAGAGAAGTAGGGTCTCGGGGCCCTGCCAAGCCCTAGGCTTCCTCCTTGATGTGGCAGATGGCGGGTAGAAAGCTCCGGAAGCCAGTAGCCAGGGGTTTGCGCAAAGGCTTACATCAGCCACCAGTTCTTCCTGCCCAGGCTGTGCGGAAGCGCAGGGCCCGGGCCTGCCCCCTGCCTGGGCTTGTGAAACCCAGTAAGCAGCACCCAGAGAAGCGTTGGGGCCCGGATGCCACCAACGGCTCCTGTCACCATCAGGGCTTCAAAGCACCCCAACTACTGCCTCCCAGGCTGGGGGGGGGCCTCTGGGGGGATTCCAGTGACCAGGTAAGCCACTGCATGGAGCGGCAATCTTAAAATTGGCACAAAGCCAGGAGAGATGGCACAGGACAGTCATTAGAGCCTCAGGAGAGGCAAGAGGATGGAAAGTTCGAAACCACTCTGGACTAGAATAAGTCAAGGCTGGTCAGGGTTAGGGGCTAGGGTGTGGCTCAGTGGTGGAGCCCCTGCCTAGAATTCCCCAGTGAGGGGCTGGGGCGTGACTCAGTGGTAGAGCCCCTGCCTAGAATCCCCAGTGAGGGGCTGGGGTGTGGCTCAGTGGTAGAGCACCCACCCACCTAGCATGATCAAGGTACTGGGTTCCACTCACAGTACTTAAGATGTCTCCTACAGAACAGTTCCACGAGGCCCACCAGCCTCATCACCTCCCTGACATCCTCAACAAAGCCAGAGCACAGCAGGATCTACGAGGTACAGGACTAGGTAGATAAATTATGACAGCGACACAGAGAGGACCAGGGCCCAGCAGATGCTGTGCTGTTGGAGATGTGGCAGCCACTGACCACGTGTCAGGCCTGAGCATCTGAAACGCAGCTATGGAGACTGAAGAACTCTATGGTTGTTTTATTAAATCTCAATTAATTTAGATTTAATTCAGCATGTTCTGAGCTGAAGGTTTCTCCCGGCTAGAAACTGAAGGAGTTGGCTGTGGATGGTCAGTCTCCCTGGGGAAGAACTGGGACAAAGCGGGACTCTGAGGATTAGCAGAAGTCATGTCCTAGCTCCTAGGCTCACTCTGTGTGCGCGTGTGTGCACACATGTATACGAATTTGTGTCCATTCAACATGTGCACATGTCTTCCCAGCTGCTAGTGTGGGGGCTGGGATTTGAACTCAGGTCCCCAGGCTTGCACAGTAAGCACTCTTACGCACTGAGCCATCTCCATGGCCCGCTTTTTCTTTCTTTTTTCTGAAACAAGATTTCACTGTAGCCCAAGCCGCTCTAGCCCTCACTATGCAGGCCACGCTAGCCTCCAGCGTCAGGGGGTCCTCCCACCTTAGCCTTCCCAAGCAAGCGAGCGAGCGCGCCAGGACCACAGTCCACAGTCAGGCGCCACCACTCCCAACCCAGGGCTGTCATTCCGGCCAATCTCTAAATCGCCCCGGGCTGTGTGAAATGCATAATGCATCATCACCTTCTCCCTCCAAGGCTGATGCATGGAAAGATTCAAGAAGCTTCTGTCTGTGACAGGATTTGAGTTCTGTCTGCCACGGGGTGCCATGTAGTACCAGCTGTTGTCACAAATGACTGGCTAATTGACTTCTCCAGGTCAGGGTCTGAGGGGGTCCACTTGCCCTACCCACACAAATTTATCCTTCCTCAGATGAGACGTGAGTGACTGTAAGTTATTGACACGCGATCTTTGAATTGTACATTGTGTGTGTGTGTGTGTGTGTACACCCGCGTGTTCACGTGTGTACCTGTGCGTGCAGATCCTGAAGCTGACCTCAGACGTCCTCCCCAATCACTCTGTATCTTATTTTTTTTGTGGCAAGGTTTGTCCCTGGACTTAGGGCTCTGACTTGGTTAGACTGGCTGGCCAGTGGGCCTGATGGAGCCTCCTATCTCAGACTCCCCAGCACCGGGATTCTAGGCAGGTGATGCCTCTTCTGTGGTTTCACAAGGGTGGTTAGATCCTCACGCGTGTGAATGCCATTTCTACCAAAAGATCCAAGTTCTTAGCCCATCCAAGCACTAATCAGGCCCAAAGCTGCTTAGCTTCCAAGATCAGAATATTCAAAGTGGTATCAAAATTCCAAGCACTCTCTGCTACAATGGTGGTGCACGCCTTTATCCCCGCACTCAAGAGGCAGAGGCCAGCCTGTTCTACAGAGAAAGTTCCAGGACAGCCAGGGCTACACAGAGAACCCCCCCCCCTCCCAGAAAAGCCACACCCACACAGTCAGAGATGATGACACACCTGTGTCATCCCAAGGCTAAGGAAGTAAGGAGGCAGACCCCTAGGGCTCAGTCAAGCAGCCTAGCCTACCCCAGGCCACTGAGAGACCCTGCTTCAAAGGAAATGAACAACTTCCTGAGGAATGACAGCCAGCTTGCGCAGACACAGCCAAGGCTACACAGAGAAACCTTGTCTTGAAAAACCTGTGTGCACGCGCGCGCACGCGCACACACACACACACAGAGGTAAATTTTTTAAAAATTAAAGACAGATGGGCTGTAGTGAATTTGTAGAGTGTCTGAACACTACACATGAAGTCCTGGGTTCCATCCCCAGCACTTCAAGAAAGAACCACATCTTCAGAAGTCGGGGTTAACAAGGGGCCACCTACTCACAGCCAGGCCGAGCGCCTGCTTGGGTATCTCTGCTTCCTGTGCAAAGATTTAATGGCATTCATAAAACTCCCAACTTTCCCAAGTCATTTTCCTACACACCAGGCCGTGTGCCAAGTGCATACCTCACCAGCTCCTGTAACCCAGGCTCATCCCGGAAGGAGTTAGTCACACGCATTCGGTTACAAAGGAGAAAGCCAAGAAAGTAAAGCCGCTGCGGCTTGCCTGGACCTACGGGTTGAAGGGGGAATTCCACACACCACAGTTCCTTATCACACTGCCCGTGACCTCCATAGATGTAAGGGGTATTGTCTGTAAAGGCCGGGATACAATCCTCTTGGAGAGCCAGTAGCATCCTGCCTGCGCTCTGGCTAAAATCACCAGAAGCCTGAAGTTGACCCTATTTATGATTTAACCATAATCCAGAAGTGTTAGATAAAAAGAAATCCCAGAAGTAAACAAACAAACGGGAAAGTTTTAAACCCCATGCCATTCGGAACAGCCTGATGAAATCTTGCATCCTTCCCGTCTATTCTACCCGTAAGCGAAGCAGCAATCTTTCAAATGCATCCAAATCGTCGTACCTGCTGCCGTTAACTCATTCACCGCCTGCTCCCCCCCTCCAGTGTCCAAACTTGGTGCTACATTATTCCAGACGCTTCAATTTGTCAAATAAAATGTCTCGCATCATCCCCCAAAGAAGGATGAGGGTGAAGAGGCCACACCTGGAATCCCAGCCCTTCAAAGGTGGAGGCAGGAGCACTCCAAGTTCTAGGTCATCAGTGATTCCATAGCTAGCACAGTTCTATGCCAGCCGGGGCTCCATGAAACCAGCTCAGAAAGGGGGGAGGGGTGGCTACAACATAAGATTACAAGGCAAGGTTCACCTGTGACGCCGGGAGTCTGATCTCAATTTTTAAGCCAGCTTGGGATATAAAGTAAGTCCATCTTGAAAGAGCGAGAGTGAGATATTTTAGGAGAAACCACAGTCACACTACGTGTATTAAAGTGTCCTCGTGGGCCAGCCTGATGGCTCAGCAAGTAAAAGAATTGCCAACAAGCTCACAACCTGAGTTCAATCCCCAGCACCCAGATGGTGGTGGGGGAGGACAACTTCCCCAAGCTGGCCTCTGACCTTCACGAGGACATGATGGCATGCCTCTGCACCCAGACGACCACACACGGTAAATAAAGATGAAATCTTTTTTTTTTTCTGAGTGTACTTATTATATTTGTCTTCTTAAATACTCACTGTCTTAACTATGCACGTACATGTGCATGCGGGCGTGTGCACACGAGCGAAGGTACCCTCAGAGCTACAGGTGGTTCTGAATTATCCATTGTGGCTGCCGGAATCAAACTCTAGTCCTCCGCAAGAGCCAGAAATGCTCTTGTCTGCTGAGCCAACTCTCCAGCCCCATTTTTATTTTTGAGACAGGGTCTCATTTAGCCCAGGCTGATCCTAATTTTGCTAGGTAGCTGAAGAGGACCCTGAATTCCTGATCACCCTGCCTCCACCTCCTGAGTGCTGGGATTTTAGGGCGCACCACCATGCCTGATTGCTGCATTGCTGAGAAAGCCCAGAGCTTCCTGCATGTTAGCCAAGCACCTACCTAAAGGAGCCCCATTCCAACCCTGATTGTTCTCCTGTGCAGTAGGTCATCATTGCTTGTTTCTTACTGTGTCTACTCTTTTTTTTTTTATCCAAAATGTGTTTATTGGGATGGTTCCCACTCATCTCGAATCCGGTGCTTTTCAGTGCTGCTTCCTCCTGAAGGAGCATCCTTCTGTCAGTCTTGCTTTCCCGCCTGTAGGCTGACAGAGGACAGAGGAGCAGCCGACACACAGGACTACCGTCTGTGCATGGCTAAAGACCGTGGTGATTTTATAGCATCCTGGGCACTTCACATCTGCAAAGTAGGAACTGGGGCTCTGCACCAGGCGCTTTTTCTTGTATTTCCTCTTTTCCTCCTCTGGAGAGGGATGAAGGAGATCCTTTGTGAGAGGCATGTTCTCATAGGGAGGTCGTCACCTCTGGAAAGGCTACTGTGTCTACTCTTACAAGAGTTTATCAGGGGTATGACTATGTAAGAAAAAACAACGTGATCCCAGCACTCGGGAGGCAGAGCCAGGTGGATGTCGATACTAGTATGGTCTACAAGAGTAAATTCCAGGACACGGATAAATCCTGTCTCGAAAAACCACGGCAGGAAGGAAGGAAGGAAGGAAGGAAGGAAGGAAGGAAGGAAGGAAGGAAGGAAGGAAGGAAGGAAGGAAGGAAGGAAGGAAGGAGCGAAGAGGGGAGGGAGGGAAAAGAAGAAAGGAAAGAAGTCCACAGTCCATATTCAGATCGGTGCTACCTTTGTCTCTGGGTCTCAGGTGTGCACTGGCACCCTGGAAGCCATTCATCAGAGAAGAAAAGGGCTTTCCAAGGCTAATACACCTGGGACTCGGCATCTAAGGTCTCTGCACAGCAGCTGGGAATCCAGATTCATATAATGACACAGACAGAGAATAAGGCCCGCCCCTCCCCTCCCCTTTCCCAAACAGCTCCAGCTTATGGGGTAATCAGGCTGTCCACAAGCCTCTCTTCCCTGCTTACAGGCCCTGCCTTCCAAAGGCAGAAGGGAAGTCAGCCGTGGTGGCTCCAGTCCTTCCCGTCCACTGGGCCGCAGGCTTGGGCGCCTAAAGTCACAGTATTCAAGCTGTGTGTATAGATGCTCCGCTCACCTGTAACCCAGATGTCATAAGGCAGCTAGGCTGCACAGCCAGACCCTGGCTCAAAAGCAAAAAAAAAAATAGACAAGGTGGTGCTTGCCTCTGATCCCAGCACTTGGAGGAAGGTGGGGACAGGATCTGGAGTGCACAGGGTCATCTTTGGCTACATAGCCAGCTCAAGGCCAACCTCGGTTAGAGACCCCGTCTTAAAGGGGAAGTTAAAAAAAAAATGTAAGCCAGGTGTGGAGGCTCAGGCCTATTACTGTAATAGTGAGTCCTGGGAGGAATTTGAAGTCATCTGTACACCAGAAGCAATGCAGTAATGTTCTCAAATAGTCACAGACAAAAATAGCCCAAGAGTTCTTCAGTAGGCGAGTGGGTAAACAAATCTGTGGCATGGCTGTGCAGTGGAGTATTATTCTGCCTTTAAAAGGGGGGGGGGGGCGTGACACCTGCTCAAGCAAGAGAGCAAACACTGCATAAGGAACCTGGTGACAAGGAACCCAGAGGCGCCAAGTCACTAAAAGAGGAAGCTGAAGAGTAGGTCCCAGGAGCTGGGGGAGGGCGAAAGGAAGAAGTCGGGGGGAACAAAGACGGCTGTGCAGTAAGCGCGCACTCGCGCTGAATTGTGCAGCTAGAGGTGAGATGAGGGAGGGGCGGAGTAAGAGCTGTGGACTCTCAGCGAGCAGGCACTGTTCCCCGTGGGGGGGACAATGGGAACAGGAATGAGCACAAAGGGAGGGGTAGGAAGGGGCACGAGCGGCCAATGACTAACCAGAGCTTTCAGAAGCCTAGGATATTTTATACCTTGACTAATTCCCATGAGCTCTGTCACAGATATATTTTACAAAAAAAAAAAAAAAAAAAAAAAAAGCAAAAAAAAAAAAAAAAAAAAAAAAAAAGAGGAATAAAGGAAAGAAAAAAAAAGAAAAGAAAAGAAAAGAAAAGAAAAGAAAAGAAATAAATAAAAGTTGAGTCCAGGATGAGTGAAATAATTCCGAGGGTAAAAAGTGCTCACCGAGGTCCGGAGAGATAGCTCAGAGGTTAAGAGCAGTGACTGCTATTCCAGAGGACCTGAGTTCAATTCCCAGCAACCACATGGTGGCTCACAACCATCTGTAATGAGATCTGGTGCCCTCTTTCTGGCATGCGGGCATACATGCCAACAGCACATTGTATGCATAATAAATAAATAAATCTTAAAAAAAAAAGTGCTCACCGAGCAAGCCATGTGACCAGAGTTCAAGCCATGGGTGATCCAACAACGAAAAGAACCAACTCCCAAAAGCTATCCTCCATACTCAAGTCATAGCAGGTAACACACACACACACACACACACACACACACACACATGCACACGCGCGCACGCACACACACCAACTGGTCCAGCTGGTGAGGTGGCTCAGTGGATAAAAGGCCTGCTGACAAGTCTGATGACTGAGTTCCATCCCTGGGACCCACGCTGCGGAAGGAGAGAGGTGATGCCCGCAAACTGTCCTCTGACCTCCACGTGTGCACCCTGGCACACGTCCGCTGGCACACACCCAGACAAATAAAAAATCATGTTTCTCAAGACTCGTCTATTTTTATCTTATGTGCATTGCTGTTTCACCTGCATGTTTGCCTGTGTGAGGGTGCCAGATCCCTTGGAACTGGAGTGACACAGTTGTGAGCGGCCATGTGGGTGCTGGGAATCCAACCCTGTCCCTCCAAAGAACAGTCGCTGCTCTTAACCACTAAGCCATCTCCCCAACCCCAAAGCAATGCTTCTTTTAAAAAAGTGACTCTAGTGAGAAAAATCCCTCTCAACATCCCCTACCCCCACTCGCCCCCAGCATCCCAGAAACAGCTAAAGCCCACCCGGCTTCTGAATGCTTCACGTGCCAGCTGTGTGACCCCAGGCAGGCAACCCAACCTCTCTGAGCCTTCCCATACCCTGTAAAATAATCTGTAAAATAATCAATGGCGTTAAGAAGGCAAAGACACTGGAATTCTCCGGTCCCTAGCGTTCTGACACTTACCAGGTGACAACAAGAGCTGGGGCGGCAGGTGTGTAGGCATTTCCTGAGCTTTCGGGGCACAGCGACTGGGGACCTGCGGGTGCTGCTACCTCCTCTGGCCTCCCTGGGCTGAGGCAAAAGCTAGCCTAAAAAAGTCAGCCCCACCCCTAGGAGGAGGGACTAAGGGCTGGGCCCAGACAGATTAAAGTCCGTCCCAGCCTCCCCACCCTGCCTGTCCCTCACGCTCAAGCCCTAGAACTGCAACCTCCAGCCACCCCCCAACAAATCCAAGCCCCTCAACAACAAGAAATCGGGCACTCTCCCTGGGGTGCACGTGGGCTTTGTCTCACCCACCACCGGATGTGTTGCCCTGAAAAGTAGATGCCTAATATTTAAATAAAAAGGGTATCAAAGGCTCCCAGAGAGAGGTCAAGACCAGCTTAACCAATGACATGCAAATAGTCCACTCAGCCTGGGCCCTGAAGGCTTCAGACTGGTCACAATCAGCAAGCAGGTAATTACAGAGGGACTTCCTCAAGGAAAGAATGCATCCCCTAAGGACCACTCCAGCCTCAGGAGTGACAGAGTTAGGGATGGCTGGACTTCCAAGGGACTGCTTGGGCAAAGTGAGGCGTCACACCAAACAGAAGCCTTAGCACAAGGGCAGAGTTAAGAATTCCTTCTCTGGTTGGCACGATGTCTCAGTAGGTAAGGGGGTTGCCGCCAAGCCCGATGATCTGAGTTTGATCCCTGGAACCCACATGATGAGACAACCAAATATACCCAGGCCCAAGGTGTCCTCTGACCTCTACCTGCACTTCCTGCTTGCCCATTCTTTCACACACGTGCACGCGCTCACACACAAACTTCTTGTTTGCCCACTTTCATATATGTGTCTATACATATACACATATGTACACCCACACCCTCCCACACACATACACACACTTCTCAATGGCCCACTTTCACACACTAATATATATACAGAAACGTATACCCATACCCACGCACACACAAGCATGCACTTCTCAATCGCTCACTGTTTCTCTCTCTCTCTCTCTCTCTCTCTCTCTCTCTCACACACACACACACACACAGACACACACACGCAAAAGGCTAGTGGGTGTAACTCTAGCCTGCACTAAGCCCTGATCACAGCACCCATAAACCAGGCTTTGTGACACACATAACCCCAGCACCCCAGGAAGCAAGAAAACCATCCTACATAGCTATACAGGAAAAGCCCAAGTCAACCTGGGCCACTTAACACCCTGCCTCTGGATAAACACACACACACACAAATAAACAAATAAACTGAACCAGGATATAACACAGCGGCAGACTACTCATTTTGGGTTTGTGAAGCCCTGGGTTCCATCTAGAGAACCAAAACAAAACAAAAAACCAGTAAGATATAAGGGATCATGTCCCAGATCCCAGCACTTGGACAGCTGAGGCAGGAGGATTACAAGGAATGGAGGCCAGTAGGTGCTGATAGAGATCCTGTCTCAAACAAACAGACAAGACAATCAAATTAGAATATTTCTGGTCCTCCCAATTTGGGGCAGGGAGGGGCTCAAGACCACAGCTGATTTGGGCGGGGTTTGGTTTGATTTGGTTTGGTTGTAGTGCTGGTGATAGAACACAGGGCATATGGAAAGTCGGGTAAAGGCCTTTGGCTGTCTGCCATACCTGAGGAGCTGTTTTCACCATGGAAGAATTTAAAGTCTCCCACAAGCCCTTGCTGACAAAGATGAAACTATAAAAGGCTGGAATTCACTGGGGAGAAAGGAGTTCTACTTCTGTGAGCCCACCACCCCCTCCCCGGAGGCCAGCCTCACCTGTAGGTGCGACCCAAGTGTCTGAGAGACCTTATCGCAAATAACAATGGTTAGTTTAAATTAGCAAATTAACTTTTAAGAAGACAGGAATGCTCAGGGTTGGGTTTAGGCAGAGGAAGAGCCACGCGGAAACCCAGGCACCTAAGCAGCAAGAATACTCTCATTTGTGAATCATACAAAAAAGCAGCAAAAGCCCGCACCAGAAATGCCTGGCCCCGGGCACTTGCGGGAGAAGGCCAAGGCAGAGGGGCAGACCTCAAGGGCAGCCACACAGCAACAGCTGCCTCCAAACAACAATCAGGGGAGAAGAGTATCTTTTTACAGAGATAGCATGGGTTGGGTGGCTTCCTCTCACCCTCCAACTCCCTCACTGAACCTGGAGTCAGGCTGGAGGCCACCAAGCCCCAGCAATCTGCCTGTCTCCACGCCCCAAAGCACTCCAACTACCCAACTACGGGAAGACGTGAACAGCCTGATCCAGCTTTTGGGTGGGTGTTGGGATCCGAACTCAGGGTTCTTACCTGTC